ATCTCGCAGCCGCTCACGATGAGACAGAGGGATGCAGAGAAAAGAGGAGGGAGGGGGAGGCTGCGGGGGCCACTGGTGGCCCATGTTCTCTACTACTTTTGCCCTCCTTTACCTGTCAACGGCTTTCTCGGTCCCCACGGACCGGGAAGAGAGCGTTTTCCCTGCTGTGCTGCTATCAGGAGATAATCATCTGCTACTCAGTGTTGCATGCAGACAATCGGGACTACGGTGAGCAAAGAAACACGTGGGGGACTTGAAAAGAATCCCAAAAAGACCTTGATTTACAGCATGTTTCCGATGCAATAGTTACTATATCGGTTATAATTGGCTTGAAAAACCCATTAGTTATATCGTCTATGTGCAACGCTGCCTGCGTTGTACAAGGACAGATAGCAAAGTGCTCTGGACGGGAGCCCGTTGAGCTCCGGCCAAATCCTGTGTCTTTGCCTCAGTGACACAAAGTTCCTTAAAAGTCCATTATGTCTCACAACCGCTGCAGCTCTGACTTCACTGCCAAATCTGAGATGCCAAAGTTGTAAATACTCCCTCTGTCTGTCCAAGTAGAGTGAAGACAAAGTGGTGATTAATGTATCGCTGCAGCATAAGTGTCTTCTAAATGTCTCTGTTGGAAGGACTTCAATTTTGCTTATGTGAGCGATAGTCCATACCACATCCCAAATTAGGGATTGTGATTAACGAACAGCAAACTTGTGCCCAGCAAAGCACCGTGTCTCTCACAGAGACACAATTATGTTCTGAATTGATTTTCTTCACATTGGACTTAAATGGAGTTATCTAAAATTGCCCTGGAATTAAGCAAAAACACTTTTATTATTAGTTAATTCGTGTCGTTGGAAACAAACGGCAGACGACCCAATCTCACCTCAAGGTTTATTTAGCGGTGGTGCTGGAGCTTTGCGATGAGGTAAAAAGCTCCAGAAACAGCTTGTAAATGGACTGTGCTGCTTTCAAAACGACATAAATCATGTTGCTTGACTTTTAAGCCAATTTGAATGTGAGCAAACACGGCTAGTCTTCCTCATATAGTCATTAAATTACAAGAACAACAATAACAGAAAGTAACAGAGAGCAACTCACAGGGATTGCAGTTGGAATATGAACACTTGAGCTTGCGATGGACGCGGGGATGGCGACCGGCAAGGTGTGGCCATTAGGCAGCTGTAAGAGCACGGGGAAGGAGCCGGTCACCGGGCTGAAGGGAGGGAAAAACAAACGACTTTTGGGATTAACACGCAAAATGGAAACATGTTCACTTATTAAACACAAGGGCGGATACACCAGCGTAATGTAATAATCAGGCAACAACTTACGGAAATAATGCGGAACCAAAACAATTAAAAAAAACATAACTGTTGCGAAACAGCTGGATCATCAGAAAACACATATTTTGTAATCGCATTAGACCCCATAAGTGACATCAGTGTTGCCCAGGTACGGAGTGCTGGTTCAGTAAAACATGGAATTTCCACCAAATCATTGGAGTTTGGCCTTTTCATTGGAAAATAGTATTTAAGTTTGAAGCATAATTCCCAACCAACATTTTTTTTAAATGCTCACTTACTACAAACTCATTACTTGGTTCATTATTTCACCGGGTTTTGATAATTGGAGCAGGGAGACTCCAGGTTTAGAATGAAACCTCATAATTTGTGTTATACTGCAAACAATTTCTAACAAGTAACACTGTTCTCTACTTCGACCTGTGAAACTTCCTGCAGCTGCGCCTCTATTTCACAGCTAATTTAATACTAGTGGATATCCTAAAAGTATACACAGTGATTCATGAACAATCTGGCTAGTTGTGGCCGGCTTGTGCTTCCCTGAGCTCTACAACAACCATCCTGCCGTACTGAGGCTTCATGCACTTTACAATCTTGCATAAAGGGAAACCTCTGATTGTTCATTGTTGTTGATTTCCACCATTCAGAAATTGAACTGGAGCTATAAATCCATATTTGAGCAATGTTGATGTTATTCCTGGAGACGGGACTTATGAGGTCTACAGCCAAAAAAAAGAGTGCAAATAAATGAAGAAAAACAAAAAAAAACAAGCACATGCCTCATGAAACATGAGCCCACCAAACAAAACTGCACATATGTCTTAAAAAAAGGATGATTTAATAAAACCATGATAATTAAAAATGGACGTTTTGAGTTACTTACACTATAGGCCTATTAGTGGATGGGACTTGGGTAATAACAGAGCTAGATGTTGGTGATGGGAGAGCTGGCTGTATTACAACATTAGCCTCTGAGGTCGCTAGAAGTACATTGGGGACTTGGAGGGATGCAGGATGGACTATAGTGGATGTTGGCAGTGAGGCTGGCTGCAGAGATAAATCCTGAAAACATCATACAAGACCTTAGCTGCAGGAAGTATTCAATGAACACCAGATTGTTAAGTAGGGTTGCAACACTATGAGAGTTTCGTGCTACGATAAGAGTCTGAAAATATCCCGGTTTTACAGTTGCGTGCTATTCTTCGTCTGAAGCGTTTTAGTTGACATGTAAGCAGCTATTAATTGTGAGAAATTATAGAAATGTAACATCAGCTTTGAGCTTTAAAAAAAAACCAAAACACTATGATGCACAACTAATATATAACGTAGGTGTGCGAAAGTGCATCCGGACTGCTCCTGCCTGTGCCTTCAACACTCACGTGAGTTCTTTTGTTATTACAGTAAATAACCACATTCACCTGCTTTGATAACCATCGGTTTAGTTGGCGCGTTATACCAATGCAACCCTACTTAACAAAATCACTTCTTATGATGACACATTATTCTTCTCACTATTAGGAATAAAAGAACTAAACAAATGGAAGCGCGTCAGTCATCTAATACATCCAATGAATTTTCTCTCATTTTCTGCAATGCGGTTAGCATTTTCTCATGGACTTCATGGCATTACCGTATAGTCGGCACGATTAGCACGAGTACCGGAAAATGCTAATTAGCTTTACCGTGTCATCGTCTGTAGTAGATTCGGGACGAGGCAGTGGGCTGTCTCGATGTGCCTCCATAGCCGTGGTCTCCTCGGTTTTGTTGCGTATGATGGGCGTTGCAAGAGGTGACAAATCCAACGGCAACTATAGAAAGAAATGAGAATGAATCAGCGATATCAACGACAAGCACGGGAATTGGTAGACGCTAGATGATCTGCTGGCGAGACGTCTGGCAACGACAACCACCTTTTTGATGTCATCTTCACTCCCTTTTTTGAAGTCATGGTCAAACGGGCTTGCAAGTTCATTGAAGAGTCCAACCTCCTCGCAGTTCTTCAAAAAGCGGGTAGGTGTTGGCGTTTGGTCTGCAGTGGAGCAACACCATCAGAACCCAGACGATAATGTAAAGTATATATGACATCAAAATAGCTGCTCCGCTCACCAGCGATGATGGCACTGTCGTTCCTTGCAGGGCCAAACTTCAGGGTCATCTCATGTTTGTGTTTGTGAACAGCCAAGTGATCCTCGTTTGTAAATCTCTTTGTAAGGTCAAAACAGAAAACTATCAAAAAGGATCTGAAACGTCTGTTTGAGGTTTATTTGCAGACGGACAATTCTTTAATATCCCAGGTTCACTTTCTCCTTCAGTTTGTTTATTTGAATACTTATTTTCTTTATGTTACATTATATTAGTTTGTATTGTGCTCACATTGTACATTCTCTAAAACAGGTTTATCCAGCGGTAGTTCTGTTTACATGAAGGCACATTTGCAAAGATGTATGATACCTCACCTGTCCACAACCAGGAGCAGTGCATTGGAAAGGCTTATCATCGCTCATATTAAGGGACATTGTTGTGTCGCTCTGAAAAAATAAAATAAAAACAAGGCGCCAGAAGAGAAAGTTCAATATCAGTCCCGTATGTGACAATTATTTTAAGGGTTAGCGGTTAACGAATAATACTAAATAAATAAACATCGTGGCTTTAGCGGGAATAAACGCCAGCAGACCTATAAACTGATGTGGTATAATATATGGTAACGCTCGGTTGTACACGTGAACGTGCTGAGAGAGGACGGCTGCACATCTGGACAAAGCATCCTGATGATGGGCGGGTGCTTCGGTTGTTTACACCTCGGTGTCATCATGAAATCACGGTGTGGGGTTTGGGTTTTTTTTCGGTCCAAATACTCGTCTGAGCGGCTCATCCGGAGCTGTCCTCCGCGGACATGTTCACCGCTTTATGTCGTAAACATGTCAAGAAAAGGCGAAAGACTGAACGTTGACCCAGAGCGAACATACAGATTACAACGTGCTCCATCAGTCGCTTGCATTGGAATAGCTCAAGCCTACAACCGTCGCCATATTTACACATAAATGGCTCTGTATAGAGAGAAGTCGTGTTAAATTCGACGTCCCTTGCAGTGACAGAAATTAAACATTTCATAACCGCTTTGCATCAATTCGCTATCAGTTTAAGTGGTCACTTACCCCTCAGCCACAACCTTTGATTTACAAACCCCACGTATCACGGAGCAAGTATCGCGAGAGTGCCTCAGGCGCTTCCGTAAACGTCACGGCGGGACGGAGCGGGATCCTGGTCAAGCAGTATTACAACATATATTCAGGAATTGAATTAAAGGTCCCCTTCAATTCCGCTTTAAAGATCTATATAGAATCATTGTTTTATTTTTCAGAAACTACTTCATTAAGATCGCATACTCCGCCCCCATTATGAATGCATGAAAATTATTTTAATTTCAGATTTCAAGTATAATTATTAAATAAATATTGTAGTTGACATAAGTATATTGTTCGTTCAAATGTTGTGAAACTTTCAAGAGAACGAATATTCATAGTTGCATTTACCTTGTTAATGTGGTGTTAGTGTAACTTAAATATGCAAACAGCCTATTGTGTTATGAAATCCCGAGTTATCTTTCAGTCTCAGCATCCCCAATACATTAACTACTAGTTATACAAGATATCCAATAAGTATTTTTGATGTATTGGTTCAGAGGAACGCTATTGGGAGTTGTCAAAAAGATGTTCCAGCATTCATGGTTTCAATTCCTTCTAACGTTGTAAAACGGTCAACCACAGGTTTATTTTGGCATTTACTATGATTTGATCATTTTCATGTTAAAGGTTTTGATCAATAATTGGGACTCAAGGCCAACCACCAGTCTAACAAATGAAAATAAAAAATGGTAATATTCTTTGTATTCTTCCTGGAGAATCCACTGAGGTTCCCGGCTGGTGACGGGAAGACATTGAATTACTTTCACAAAGCGAAAAACACACAAACAGTAAGAGAGTCTTATGGTTTAAAAAAAAATTACTTCAGTTTCAACTAAATTCAGTCTAGCTTGATTACAGAACACAAACCATCACAAACCCAGCATGATTAAAAAGAAGCCAAAACCCATTGTTTAGCTTAATTAAATCCTCTAGATTTATTTAAGCCATTTATAAAAGCAAGCACCCACTTGCTGCCTTATCACAGTACCATTTAACTGCATCTAAACCCAGGTGGCATCCAGAAAGCTTTCATGGGGTGTGCCAAGAGAACAAGGCTAAGCTAAGGCAAGCCACTGCTTCACAGAAAAGATGACATTCACAAAAGGTGACTGCTTTCTATTATGCTAGCATGATATTTCAGACATAAACTTTAGCACCATTGTTAAATAGTCCAATACATGTATTTTAATTGCGTAATTTCTTACATTTGTACAATACATGCGTTGCGTCAACAGTGTCTGAAAGTCTTGAAAATGTACATTTCCATGACACCAACACGGAACACTTAGTAGCCACAATAAAATATGTAGTGAAAGTGTTGAATGACAGCAGAGTTTTACATAGCAAACAGGATAAGGAAAGCAACCATCAAACAGAACAGTCCCATGGCTTCAGACAGGGCAAATCCCAGGATGGCATACGAGAACAGCTGCTGCTTCAGAGATGGGTTCCTGCCAAAAAGAACAACACGTAGTGAAAAAACAAGGCGTTCACCGGAATTCTGTCAATTCAAGTCAATTTTGGTATTTTCAGGGTGTATGCTTTCGAGAACATACCTAGCATAGCCAATAATGAGGCTGCCGAACACGGTCCCAATTCCAGCCCCAGATCCAGCTACTCCAACTGTGGCAGCTCCAGCTCCGATGAACTTGGCGGCGGTGTCAATGTCCCTGCTGATGGCGCTGGTCTGAATGCCCCTGAGTGTGACCTGGGCGAGGGGGCTCTGTGGCATCACAGCAACACTGCTCTGGAGGGTTTGAAGTGGGTCGGACAATCAGCGACACAAATGGAGTACTAAATAAACAAGTAGTAGAATGAAAGCTGCAGTCCCAGTAAATAGGCTTTGGTCTATTCTCACCTCTGTTTTGAGCTCAGGCCTGGACAGCACCGAGGCAGAGAGGGGTCTGTAAAGAGCCCGGGAACCAGCACGGACCTGAAGCAACAGCATGCATACAAACACAGTGCAAGTTTAGTTACACAACACAAAAGCGCAATGAGATAAAACATAATGTTGGTAGCTTTTCCTCAGTCTGAATCCTAAAGTCACTTTGTGAGGCAGTGTCATTCACTGCAGTGTCCACACTGACACTAGGACATTCTTGTGTCACTGAATCTTGAGTTTGCTTTTTGTTTTTCTGTGGTGCTAACAAACTAGAATAAACATGATAAGCATCCTTACAAATGGTCCCACAGTGATTCAAACGGGTTAGCCTGCAAGAGGGACTAGAAACAGAAATGTGACCTTGGAGAACAACTTGACAACCCGGGCTACATTTAATCGGAGCACGCGAAACTCATACACAATGGGATAGTTTGTGGATTAATTAAACAGCCATGTTCAGGACATTTCAGGAGACCTCTGCACAAATAGAAATCGGCTAACAAAGGCTTGTGATGACCTTAGCTAACGGCCATCACTGAAAATGATCGCTAAAAGCTGGAGCAAAGGCAGTGGCAGTTTTTAAGACAGCTGGCATGCATTTCAATGATTAGCATCAGCACTGCACACGTTTAATAAGTATGCAAGGAATGGTGTGCTTTAGCAAGAGCTAGCTAGCCTAGCCTGCATACAAGTTACCCTTGCCAGTCAGCTAACGTTACAGTCAAGTTCAGCCAGAGGCCCACCGGATTACTCTGGGTATTCAGAAAGCGGGTCCTAAACTCACGGCAGGAACAACACGCCGTAAAAGAGAACTCACCAGAGCCGGCGTGGAGACGAACTTTGCACAGGCGTACATTTTCTATTTTAGGATGTTTTAACCGGTTCGGTCGAATCTGGTTGAAGCCCGGGTCTCTCTGAGGAAGGAAGACCGAGGAGAAGTAAGGTCAAACGGCTGTAAAAACGATCCAAGGAGAAAATACAGGCATTCATATGCACATAAACATCCATCCTGCATGCTGTCCTCACTTGAGAGCTGCGATGTGACGTTAAGAGAGAGGATGAAAATGGATTTATAGAGATATGCGCCTCATTCAAACTGCCATTACACACTTACCGACTGCAGAGGTCGAACCACAGTAGAAGAGTGCGCATGCGCGCTGTGACGTATGTAAATGCCCGGATGATGACAGTGGGAGGTCATTTCACCGAAACTTTATTGAACACAATCACAAAATCAGCAGTGTTCATTCACAAAAACTGTTCACACACGGTCCGTGTATGTTGATTAATGCGCCTACTTTGTGTTAATATAACTAAGAGAACATAGATGGCAGCTCCTGTTGATCTGAATCTACGACGTTGAATGTAAGCCAAATATATTTGAACATAAAGAAAAAATTGGTGGAGATATGGATAAAATTGGTATGGGAGCATAGCTAATGATAAAATACAGCTAATGAATATTAATATGGGGATTTCTGTTATTGTAAAGCCACGCCACGGAACCTCAAAACTAACAATAAACTAATCCAACAAACATGTATTGTTGCCAGAGCGTGATATCGATTTTTGTTTGTTCTCTAAAAATATATTTAACACTTATCACTGACCATACTCAAGGTTATTTAAAGGCAATCCCATATATGTCCTGCTGTTGTAAACACTGAGTAGTGCAACAAAGCCAGTACCTCATAAACTCACATGTCTCCTATTGGAGTAATATAATACAAACTACAATGACCAGCCATTTCAGTAAATCATTTGGCCTTTAAAAATGAGAATATATGTTTGTGACCTGCTTATAAATACTCACACCTTTAACTCATTTATGGGGTTGAGACAAGCAAGGGAAAACAACACTCTGAAATGAAAACAATCAACAATCTCTGAAAATAAGACATTCATTCATTTTTGTAATCAATTAATCTATGTGGTAAAACCTTTAAAAAACATCCTTAAAGGTGACACGGGTAGAATAAGAATATCTGCCAACATAGGCTCTATGAGGGTGAATTTCAAGTATTAAATTCCTGGCAGTAGCATTACTGGGGGGTCAAACATTAAGCTGACAGAGAGACAAAGCTGTTTTAAATTCTATTGTAATGGGCATCAAACCAGCATGACATCAAAGGAAAAAGAGACATTTTCTTTTTTGTCAAACAGGCTGAAGAGAAAAAGAATTTCAACCAGTATTTCAATTTCGATTTTTTTTCCCCCTCAAAACAAAAGCAGTCTGCCACTATCACCTGTTGTGCTGTGAATTTAACACTCTGGCCAAAGGGAGCGGTGGCTCGGGCCTGAGCACCTCACAGGCTAATGGTGGAGCTGTAGGCTACCGGCACCGGGGCAGATTTGTAATCGTGATGAATGACTCCACAGCAGCTGGTCTGTGATGGAAAGGTAATGAGCACGGGGAGTGTGCTTTTACTGCATGCTGGCTTCAAGAGAGCGAGGTCTCAGTGGCTCCTCAGGTATGATCTCCTCAGTTTTATGGCCAACATTAAGCCACAATCTAAAGATTCAGTGGATCACATGAAATGCAGAAAAATACAGCAGTGTCTTAAGCATTACTTGATGTTATTCTATTTCAATTATTATATTATATTCCAATGCATTCCAATTAAGTACAACCCATAATGTTGTGTTTGCTTGTTTCATTCTATTCTATCACATCCTATTCAAATGTATTATTTTCCACTTTATTCTATTCAGCCTATATGATGTATTCTATTGTATCATTTGATCCACTAGCCGATTTAATTTGTGCTTGGCAGTTGTGTTCTGTTTTGTTTCCTGTGTTTATTTAAACTTTTTCACTTTGCTGTAAGAGTTACCTTTTGGCAGCCTATTATAAATGATTCAATACATTATCACGTGTTAGTGATGACCTCTGCAAAGCTCAAACGAAACTTGTGTCGTAAAACAACAAAAATTGAATCACATAAGCTGGTAAAATATATATAATGTCTCCAGAAATTATCACAAAAACGTTTATTGCATCATTAAAAGCGTTTTCCCGCCGGAGACTGAGAAAAGCTTGAACATATCTTAAAGCGATCTAAAAGAAGGTAATTTCCGTAAAGGTCCAGCAGAGGGGGCAATAGGGTCTAATTTGATCATTGCAGGGGTCACAATAACTGCACAAAAGAGATGAGAAATGTCATGCGCAACATAGAATAACATTCAGAGGCAGATTAACCAGAATAGAATTTTCTTTTCTTTTCTTATATTTCTCAATAACGACATTGTGGATAGATCAGCAATAATAATAATGATAATACTTTTATCCCATTTCAATGATACAGTACTTGTACCTGGTCTGAAACTCTTGACCTTCCTGTTATTTATGAATGTGCGAAATGAGAGAGCTTTAAAAAGAAAACTCTGATATCACAGATCTTCCGTTTCACATTGCTGTTATTGCAGTTGTGTTAATGCAAATGTAAGATGTAAGAATGTATTGTAGGCCCGAGTGTATTGCAGACACTTATAGGTCAGAGCCGGCCCTATGATAAAACATGAAGATTTACAATATATTAATTGCAAGGCGGCACATATCAAAGTGGCCGTTAACTACCTAAGGTCAATGTCATACTGTCTAATTAACCGGGCAGCGGCTGTGTGGTCCTACATGGCTGAGGAAGGTGGAGAGAGCAGCCGATCTCACGCACCCTCCTCCTCCCACACACACCTCCCACCCAACCACCCCCAGCCCCACCATCACCTGCTACTTCCTCCCATTCAGAAGCACGCACGCACTCGCTGTCTGAGGTCTTGCATAGAACACTCTGAGACATTCCATTTGCATGCCCGCCCCATCAAGCTGGATGCACTCAGACTGGTAATAAAAGGCATTGACCCCCTTAACCTTTATGAATTACAATTTGTGCCTGCAGCACGTCCTGTCAGAGGCCTCAGAAAAGCAGGCACCTCATCCCGGGTGTGTGCGTGTTGTTTTGCAGTTGTTAAGGAGAGGGGAAAAGGTTTTTACAGCTTCTCGTCGGAGCTTCTGACAAGCAGGGAGGAGGCGGTCTGACAGGAGGAGCAGGGTAGGGAGGAACTGCAGCGCTGCTGATGGCTCCATGCTAATCTCCATATCTGGATGCTGCACAGAACTACAGAGGCTCCCTTCTTTGTCAAGACCAAGGATGCACTGTGCCTGCTGGGATACAGTTCATCCGTGCTCCACCTGTGATTTCTGATCCCACTTACATCACTCGGGGGCAGTTTCCTCTCTTTAAAGTATTTACTAAAGCTAATAGATGAATCCGATCGTGGAAACATCTGACTGGGCTTTTATTCATTGCGAGCCTGTGTTAAATGTAATAAAGCAATGCAAACCCGCTGAAGTGTGATTGTGGGGACAAAATCAAATCAGGAAAAGAAGTCTGACCGAAAAGAAGACTGAGCTAAAGAAAAGGATTTTACCAACACTCATTTTTAATCCCATAATCCTGCAGGATGGAGTTTAAAAGTGTTGCATATCCATTTACACAATTTCTCAATGAGATCCAAAGCTCATTTGCGTGATAGCCCTGAGAACTAACTACACGTATACAGCACCACAAGTCACGCACACACACACACATACACACACGGATAACACTAACTGCACTTAATTCCAGTATGATGCATATTACTGAAAAGCAGATTTTCCCTGTGGAGAATAATCTAGCAGTTAGTCTAAATTTGTTAGAAATATTTTGCTCCAAAATGTGGGCGTGTAATTTGCTTTCCTCTTTAAATTGCCATAAAGGCTTTATGGAAGGTTTTCAAAACTGTGTCATTATTGTGGGTTAGTGGCTTTGCTGATATAATAAGTACAATAAAAGGGCATGCTATTGATTCAAATTGTGTTGTAATAAGTGTACTTTACTGTCTATATTAATAGATTAAATCAAGAGTTGGGCAAGAGTTGGGCGAGCAGACTCTCTTTACCTTATTAATAAAATAATCAGCAGAAAACTGTTTCTAAATAAAGCTAAAATAAATCCATTATGGTGGCACTTCTTCTCTGTGGCACAGTTAATAAGCACAACAGTGATCATTGTACATAATGATAGCAGTTTTTTTCCCTGAGAAAACCAGAGAACAGGTGCAGAATCAGGTGGAAACTGAATCCAGGTTACTCTGTTTTAAAGACCTGCAGAGGAACCGCAGCTCTGCAAAAGACTCGGCTTGTGAATTCTTTAACCTGCGCGGGCCGAACAGGGAACCTGAGAACCTGCTTCATGGAGAGTGTGGACAGCCTTCAAGCAGCCCGATAATCCACAACAGGAGTGGACAGAAAGCTCTTTGATACCGCGGGAAATCGTCCCACAGTAATGCAGCGTTATTTATCTCACAAGGATATAAAGGACATTAGCAGTAAAACAAATCCATAAAAGCACTGATCTTTGTGCAGCTGGTGAGCAGTGCAGCTGAATGTGGTCCACAAACTGCTGAGGTTTCAATATTATTAGACTCTACCATGACTTTACAGCTAATTCTGTAAGGCCTCTGGAGCCACTGGATGTCCTACACCAAGGAATGTTCAACTGAACAGCTGTTTTTATCAAATAATCCCCTAACACCAGCAACAGCAGCTACAGTGCAAAATATTGGTTGGATTTGAGATAAAGTTTATATTGGCGCTGTGTTATTATAAACACTTGCGTGAACTGAGCTGTTTTCTGCTTTCCGCCCTCTGTTTAACATCAGGAAATGCCGGCTGTGACTGTGTGAACAGGAGCGTGGCTGACAGGGGCAGCCGTGCGATGATGGCTTTACGGATCTGTGCTTTTCCTAGTGGCTTCAAGGTCACTGAGATTTACAATGAAACGGCTTATGACACTTTAGTAAAAAGCCACCCAGAGCTGATGACAGGAAAAGAAAACGAGCCGGGCCACTTTAGAGGAATCTGCTTGACCTCATACTGTGATCCATTACCAGAACGTACCGTTGTCTGTTTTACGCCCAACGCCTTAACTAAGATGTTCACGTTAGATTCAGCAGACAGAAGGTTGTTAAGGACGGCATATGGAGAGAGGATTTGATAGACAGATTGTGTGTGCTGCACAAAGTAAAGTATATCAGGAGAACGTTGCATTTCAAGCTCCAGTAAAACTGCAGTTACAGACTACCACACAAAAG